GTGCAGCTATGGGAGTTTTACAATCATCAGTTTTATAGGATATGACTCAAGTTTACACTAAGATGAAACTGTAAGATCTAATTGTTGGAAATGATTCTTAGCTACATGCTGTTAGTTATTGGCATTCTTAATATAGTGTTTGTTTGTTTTTTACCTGCTCGGTTAAGTTGACTTCTCTCTCCTCTGCATTTTAATATTGGATATTTTATGTTTCCACAACATCATCTTTATTGTAATAATCTACTTCATATGCCTGTGTTTTCTGAGTTCTAAGGCCTTTATTTATAACTTCAAACAGAAATGAAAAAGACATAAAGCCTGGTAGGTGCTTTTCCACACTGATTTTTGGACCAAATTCTTTATTCTACTGGGAAGGGGGAATTTTGTAACCATTATTATCTGTCAGGAGTGTTTGTGGTATGGTTCTAGGATATACGCGGATACAATAAAGGGAGTTTAAGACATTATTTAAGTAAAATTATCTCAAAGTTACATATATACATATTTTTGTTTTTAAATTTATTTTAATGCTAAAGCTAATGCATTATGTCATTTCAAAATTATTTTATCTTTGTGATTGATAATATACTTTTTTTCTAATTATGCCTTCAGATTTAAGAATTTATGTAGTGTTTCTTTATCAATGTCAACTACAGAGGACATGCTTAAAAACTGCTAATTTTCAACTTAATGAGCTCTATTAAGCCCATTAAATGGAGGCTTTAAAGTAAAATGTAGAACAAGAGATACCTATGAATACCCATTACTCTCATTGTAGGACTCACCTATGTTTAGGAATTATCTGTTTAAAAAAGCACTTATCAAATTGGATGATATTCATGTGCATTATGTCTTATGATTTTAATAAAAAGGTATGAATAATTATCGCATTTCCTGTTTCTTTTTCTCTTTTCCACGTAATGAATGTAATATGGAACCAAATTATTATGTTCAATGAAAATTTTAAAAAATTAAATATATTGCCCACATAAAAAAATGCATTATAAAGTATACTTACTTGTTAACTACTGTCACATTAATAAACTTTAAATGAACCAACTTGCATCACATTTGTACTAAACTTTATTGAAGTATATTTTGACTAAATATTAGAATCCTATATTTAAATGGTGAAGACCACAATATTACTAAGAGCAATAGTTACTAATTGCGATGTTAATAGGAAAACCTGACTTCTCTATAGCTCCTCCCCGTATTTCCATCATTGCTGACATTTATAACTTCCTCTCCTTTAAAACTGCAGGGTATTTTTGAGAAGGATAATAGCATATATTTTGAGAACTAATTAGATAAGAACACAATAGTGAATAGAAGTCCTTCATTTTTTTATTTTTTTAATGTAATGTTACTTATAGATCTCTGTGCACCCACACATCATGCTATTCAAATAAAAAAAATAACCATTCAATTTATATTTTCTAACACCTGTAATCACTTGTTTAGCTGGCATCTTTGTGAAAAATAAAAACTTAATATGTTTTCTAAGAACTGGTTTTTTATTATGCTGTGAGATAGATATATGCAATATTTAAATTCTTTTTCATTATTTTGGTGACTCTTAGGTGAAAAACAGTGCTCCGCATTAATAAAAAGTAATTTAAGTTCTCACATTCTTTTAGAGCGATGAAAAAATTACATACTCTTGCTTTTCAAATTAAGTCAATATTTAAAGGCTCAGTACTAAGTAAATGTTTAAAAGGTCACGTTGTCTTTAAATATCTGCATGACATTTACTCAATAGACACATACTGTGGACTGAGTTACACTCTAAGGATCAAAATACATACAAGATATGTATTTTCCTCTGTTTCTCTTCTGGGCTTCCCTGGGTGGGGAGTAGAGTCCCCCACTTGTTATGACTTAGGGAATGAGGATAGAAGTGACTGTTTACCTTTCATATCTCTGCTCACCCCCTTGCTTTTGCACTCCTCCATGGGAAAAGCATGCTATCAGTATCTGAGGTACCAAAATGGGAAGACCCAGGGAAAGGACCTGCACCCACTTTGCAGCCTAGACCCAAGCCCAGCCTAAATCAGCCAATTTCAGACAAGCCCAGAAAAGGGACAGGCAAAGCATAGGCCTCTGAGCAAGAAAAAACCTGATAAGCCATTGAGATTTGGAGGTTGTTTATAATGCAAAATAATTGCAGTATACCTGCATTGAAGCAGTGCCTATAGCCCCATGAATCTCATAATGTATTGTGTTAAGAGCTAGGGTTTGGATGAACTTGGAATCTAGAGATTTCCCCAACCCTGCCAAGTTTATGTTTGGGTGTGTGTGTGTGTGTGTGTGCATGTGTATGCATGCACATATCTTTCTGTTTAACATCTTAATTTCAAGGGTCTCTGATATGATAATGACTTTGAAGCTCATTTCTAAAAGACTAAACTAGTGTGTACATGGTGACACTCATCTATTTTTGTGAATGATACAAAATGGAAAACACGAACCAGAGCTAGACCTTAGCTGGTCCCTATGAAACAGAATGAAAAAGGAATGGGAGTAGATCTCTAATAGGCAATAACTGATCTTTGGAAGGAAAAAGAAGGGGTAAAGTGTATGTAATATTGTAGAATAACCATGCTTTCCCAGAGTTCCCTACTGTGGGTTCTTTCTAGAATCCATAGTTTCTAAATTTAAATAATATTTTGTCCCTTCTCTTTTATTTCTAGCCATCCCCTTGCTTAATAAAGAATATAATTCCCCCAGTTCTAAGATCTTAACAAGGTATTAGTATAAATCAAATTTATACTAAAAAATAATTGAGGATTGACGAAAAGGCAGGAGTGAAGCATAGCATTTGGGCGAGTAAGTGGGCAAGTAGTTGAGATAGATACTGATGGGGGAGTTTGGTGAAGGTAACTGATCTCTGGTTGAACATTTTAATCTTGATATCCTTATAAGATAATCACATGGAATTGTCAAAAAAGTCAAAACTTCTAAATTTCTGACCAAGGGCTCAGAATTCAGAGAATAAACTGGATAATTTTCCTTAGTTTAAATGAAAGCCCAGGAAGAGGAGGAAAAGATGTATTTGTGGCTTTGGACCTTAAGATCTGCTAGTTGGACATTAAGATCTCCTCCTCTATGTTAGAAATAGACTTGAATATATAAAGTGTTCAAGATTATTGGCAAAGAGCCAGGACAAAACACCAAGTAGTTATCATAAACTAATGATTTATTGTTTCTTCCTCCAACGCCCGATAATCCGATTGTTTTCCTGAATTTAATTTGTTTTCCTGCTTCCTAGATTTTGTCAGTAGGACAATGGTGGTTGTTTTAGTGTAAGTCTTTCTGGCATCTAGGAGTTCTTTTGTGAGGCTGAGAGCAGCAGATCTTAAGGTCCAAGGTTTCAGACATCTATTTTTAAATGCAAATGTGAGACTCTTGCATCTGGCCTTTCTAGTCCCTCCCCACCCCATCACAGAATCAGAATTTTAAAGAAATGTTCTACTTTTTTTAAACGATTTCATCACAATAGGTTAATTCTTGTTTGTCCTGGCTATTCATCATCTGCCTTCCCTGACTTCTAAAGTATTTAATTAAATTAAATATGCTCAATCTCCCATTCCTCAGCTATCACAAAGCCTAAAATGATATGGTCACCTTCTCTTAAGATATCACCTTACTAATCAATTCTTTTTTGTGGCTTGGAATGAAATGTTACCACATTTCCAGTGGTCATTGTTCCTATAACTTGAGAGATGTAGAAGTTTTCTACACATTTATGTATATAATTAAAAAGTGCATTCTTTCCCTGAGATCACAGTGAAATAAATGCCTTAAAAATCTTTAATTTTTTTTTTAAAAATTTGTCATCCCAATCCTTCTTTTCCTTAAAAACAAAACAAAACACAAAAAAAACTCGTGTCTCTATTTTTTATAATTTACTGTTTTTTTAAAATCTCTGCTTCTTCCACTTAAATAATCTTATGGTCTCCCAATTGTGCTTTAGTCTTAGTATCCAAATATCTTTATGTTGTGCCTCTTAGAAGCTGAACTTTCCTAATATAAAGCATTTTGTGTTCCTCTTTCTGATTGGCAACTTACAGAGCAAATAAACTGATTTCTGTTTAGCTCCTGAGGAAAATCAATGAGGACACTGGCAATTTCCTTTACAAATTACTCAGAGAGGCCTTGAGACATTGAGACATATACAGGAGTTGGCAAAAGTAGGTCTACAGTTGTTCCTATGGAAAAAGACACATGGGTTATGATGATTATAATAGCTTTAATAACTCAAAAGAATGCCACAATGCAATGTAAACCTACTTTTGCCCACCACTGTATAAATAAGCTCTAAGAATAATTAGTTTAACCTTATATGCAGATTTACAATTTTCACTAAAGCAGTATTTTACAAAACACTAGCTGATATGCATAATTTTGGAAATACCATTTGGTGTTTAAAAAACAAACCTCATTTTGAAAGGCAACCATTAGATCTTAGCAAGGCAGGGGGAGCATTGCTAAATATCAAGTTCTTCCCATATTAAATAACGTTTTTAGTAATAAAATATTCTGTCATCAACTTTTATTTATTGGAACATTTTAATCTAATAAATTGAAACATAGATGCAATTCATAGGAAGGATTATGGGATCCATGACTGTATATTTACATGTACTTGGCATCGTAATTAGATTGCATCAAATGCACATTTGCAAATTTTTTTTCTTTTTTTCATTTATCTTTACTGTTGAGAGTATTATAGATGTCACCCGTATTGCCCCCATCCACCTGGTTAAGACTTCATCACACTATTGTCTGTGTTCATCAATTTTGCATATGTGCAAATTGTTTTTGTTTATCAATTTTTATGTTTTACAAATGTTTCTGCCTTGGTCATTACTCAAAAATCAGTTATGAATAATAAGTACTAATGAAAAAGATCTGACAAAAACTAACAATGATATATATATGTATCTATACATATTTGGGCTAATTAATATATTTGTATGTCTGTTGTGTGCACATACCTTTGGTAAGGAAGCTCGGGATCCTGAACTCTGTGTGGTCATAGTCAGCACAGTAGTTATTCCCAAAGCTACCCTGGCTGGAGCAGCATCCATATTGATCCAGAATGAAACCCACGACAGAATAACAATCAGGAGACTGGGAATATACATCTGGATCAGATAGTATCCCATTTGTCGTTCGAGATGGAATCGCACTTCTATGCATGTAAACTTTCCTAATTGATTGCAAAATAAAGACAGTAATTGGTAAAAGTAGGTCTTTGTTTTGGCATCACATCTTGCAGGTTTCCCCCATAATTTTGACCTAATATTTTCCATTACAACAAAAAGGGATCCTAAATCATATATGCAAATCCATTTCTGAAAAGTATTTTTTCTTATTTTTCTGCTAGCATCTAGAAGCGACAAGAGAATGTACTGTTCCAGGAAATAGTATAGTATTCTTGTTACTTCACACTTGATTAACACTGCATACTTGTCAAACTACTCAAAGGTCCATTATTTCACTTGATTCTAACAAATACCTCTGAGATTGATGAGAGAAATTACTCAGTGACTGTGTTGTTTTTTTCTTGTTCATTGACTGTTTCTGGTGCTTTCAAGTATTTATTTAGAGTCAGGTACTACTATTTGTTCCAGAAGCCTTTACATTGGCTTTAAAGTCAGTGCTAAAGAATAAATACAATTAAAGCTGAATAGTTCCTTAAATGCAATATCTGTAATTTATTTTATGCATTGATAGTTTAGAAACTATTAATGCTAACAAATAGGAAAACATATTATTTCCCATTGATAATTTCAAACATAACTTAAGATCACACCTAATAAAAAGAAACCTAAGATACATTTGTTCTATATATGCATGCCTTTGTGTCTCTATTAGAGTAATTAATAGAGGCATAAATTGTGGTTTAATTAAACATTTTGTTGACATTTATGCTTATCCCCTGGTTCTATTCCCTACTCTATTGCCATGTTACCTCTCCTTAAAATAGTTGTTTATCTGAACCAACTAACTTTTAGTTTTATTCTTTCCTTATTCGAACTATTTTAAGAAGGATAAGGTCAAGGAGTTAATACACTGGTATTTCTTTAAGGGGCATTCTTTAATCTTATATAAGAGAAAGAATCAAAGAGCACAGCTGGGAAAATTGCTAGTATATACCGTATTTTCCGGCGTATAAGACGACTTTTGAAATGAAAAAAAGTCAACCGAAAATCGGGGGCAAAAGACCAAAATTGCACAAAAATTACCTGCAGATCTTGACGGCAAAGTAAGTCTTTTCTTTGAAGTACGGGGTAGTCTTATACAGCGAATATAGGCCAACACCTATGTTTTAAATGTAAAATTAGGGGATCGTCTTATACGCCGGAAAATATGGGAATATTGCTAGTGTAGGGTTCAGTACAAAATTTCTATTATTGTGACCTGAGCTACATGCTCCAGTATTGCATGGTCTGGGCTGCAGGAAGAAGGGATGGATGAGATTCCCGAGCTTAAAGTTTTAACAGAGTTTGATAAACTCTGGGAAAGTTGGATTCCACATTTAAGTGTTTAGTAGTCAGAAATATATATGCCAGCTACACATGATCCTTTTATCAATTTATCAAATACGTACAGAATGCAGGACCACTCTTGAAGTATATGAAAATACTTTAGATGTTTAAAACCCTTAAAATATAATTTTTAAAGTTTTTTCTTTAAAATAATGAAATAAAATAAAACAAGGATAATAAGGCATTTTCATGATATAACTGTTAAACAATCAAGTAATCTCATGGTATAATCAGCAACAATTGCTAACCATTTGGGTACTTTGAATACATTCTTTACAGTTCATATGATTTTCAAGAAAAAGAAGCCCTCATTGTGAGGATATGTCTAACAGGGTGACTATAATTGGTAACATCGTACTGTACAACTGAAATTTGCTAAGAGTCTAGAACTTAAATGTTTTTGCATGCACACATCAAGTAAATATAGGAGGTGATGAAATGTTAATGAACTCAATGGGAGAATCATTTCACAGTGTATACTTATATCAAATCATCACGTTATACACTAATGATCTTATAATTTTAGTCAATTATCCTTCAACAAAATTGGAAGGGAAGCATTTTTGCTGATATATACCTAAAGGAAAATTTTCCTGTTTAGATTAAAGTGGTTCCTCTCCCCCTTCTTTCTAGGGTGGACAGGCTTCTTAATATTCTCAGATGAACAGACAAATTTTCCATGTTAAAATCCACTCTATTATTTTCCTCAATAAATATTTACTGAGCATCTGTGTGCTTCAGCAGATCCCAGAAATACAGAAGTGGATACAATCCTTAATTTTATTAATGTATGGTAATGAGAGAAACAAATAACATATAGGTAAACATGTCAGTTGACGGTATAATTTCAGACAGTGAGAGCAGGAAGAGGAAGGGAGTGGATTTGGGTGTTTAACATGAGCTGGTGATGAAGAGTCATTGGAAGAGCAGCCCTGAAGTATGTGAGAGTACAGGTCTGGGTTAGTTTGGGGAAAGAGGCTTGGGAATAGAAGAAAGAGTAAGTACAAAGCCCCTGAAGCAGGGATGAGTGTGGTGAATATAAGAAAGTGATCCAGTGTTACCATGTACAGAGCGAGGCAAAGAGAAGCAGAAGAGGGTTTGGGCCAAGTGACACCACCAAGTTTGTGCCGCCTTGTTACAGCAGCCTGCAGAAACAACCCACCACCCAAAACCTGCAGAAACAAACAACCCACCACCCAAAACCAACCCTAGATACTTCTTAGTATTTTTTTGAAAGTTCTTTGTCATTAAAACTGTCCCTAGAGGGTTGAGCAAGGACACTGGAGTTGTCCTGTCTGCCCGTTGTTGTCTTGTAGAGGTGTTCAACTTGAACTCTCTACTAAATGAATATGAGCCTCCCTCCTGAGGAACTGTAATAAGGGGTGAGAAAAGAGCAGCAACTTTCTCACCTGACGGTGAATGGGTTAAGAAGTAAAAAAGATTAAAGGCTTTGTATGGTAAAAGGTCAGATCACAGTTCTGGGAAATGCTGAGCCCAAGAAGAATCAGTTATTGTGATAAAGTGATAAAGACAGCCCTGATTTGGGGGGGGGGGGGGGTGCATTAACCAGACAGGAGGGTTGCCTCCATGGAGGACAATTTAACAGAATGTGTAGCAATAGGTTAGACAGTTAGTATAGATATTATGGAATAACCCGTATCAGTTGAGAGAAGTGAGCAGATCTCATGAATGTACTGAATCTATCACTTCTTTATGTGAATAACTATCTTTGGCTTCTGTCCTCAAAGGCAAAAGATACTGTGTCTGTGTGAATAGTAGGTGCTTAAGTAACCATACCTTAAATGCATGAAATTGTGGCCAAAACTTTAAGCAACTGATGTCTTAAAAATTAAAAAAAGCAATTTCTTTCCTTTTGTTAAAAAACACAATGTTTTACATCCCAAGAAGCATTAAAAGTAAATTGTATTATTCACATAGAAATTAAAGAACTTTTTTGGACACATCATAACTATGTAATTATGAGTTTTTCACACAAACATATTTAAATGTAATTAAACACCAAACATTTCTTTGGTCCCATACAAACTGGTTATATAACCATAAGTCAAAGCACCTGTAACTTTCCATATTCTGTTCCATTACTATGGAAAACATTGAGCTATAAGTAGTAAAAATAATTAACCTAGCACCACAATTAAGAAGCATCTGACTACCATAAAACCACAAGTTGTAATGCAGCATACCTGTGTTGTAATGTTTAGTGCAGTATCGTAAATCTTTCTCTTCTTTCAACAGAAATTGGGGCAGAGTGAGTCCTTCTGCCACTTGTACAGGTGCCTCATCTTGCCATTCAAAAATGAGGTCATTCATTGTGTATCCAACTATAGGCAAAGTATAATAAATAAATAAAATATATATAGCATTAAAGGGCATTCAAAGAGATGAAAAAGCACACACTATACTTGTGCAGTTTACAGTACATGGAATGGGAAGACCAAACACTGTCATCTTAACTCTATCCATTGAACTACTCAATCTCACAAAATTCTACTGAAATCTATTCATATGGAATACTTATCAAATAATGTAATAAAGTGTAGTAAGCTACTAATAAGTACAACATACATATACATTCTTTCCTTGGTATAGGCAACTACTGGATTAATTCAACAACTCATTTTGGTTCTACTCCATTGGATTCCTGCTTACCATCTCTCAAATTATTTAGGACTTTTTTCAACTGAAATGGAAATTGTCATTAGTTAGGGAATAACCTCAGCTATAACAATAAGAGGGTGGGGTAGAGAAGTACCAGAGCTGATACCTTCCTTCGTTTAATAATTAACTATTTTAGTTTATGGTATCTGCATCTAGGTTCCAAGTCCCAAAATGAACAAAATAATATTTTAAATAGAAATGTCTGCTATTCAGAAAAAAAATCAGAGTACAAAGAAAATCTAAAGGAAGAAACTCTTGCACTTACGGAGAGTTCAGGAGAGAATGAACTAATGTATTTTGCAATAAAGAGGCACCTTCTAGCAAATTAAATTTCACATTTCTATTGGAGAATTACTTAAGAAAGAGCAGAATTGTATATTTTCCTTCCTTCTGAGTGAGAACTTAATTAAATGTACATTTGGAAGCTGCTGCAGAGAGAGCCTGAAGTCAATGGAATCATAGGGGAGTCTTGTTACCAGGCACAACCACCACCGAGGCAGAAAGAGAGAAGCAGCAGATCTGGTCTCCAAACTAAATCAAGTGTTCAAGTAAAGGAAGCAGAAGTTCTAGGTCCAAGAAGCAAGGGAAACTATCCCCAAGAAATTTTCCTGTAGCTTATATTGTAAGGGAGAGGCCATAAGCATGATTAAAGTCAGTAGGCTTGGTGCACATTAGGCCAAACAGAATAATGGGTAAGGGAGGGAGCTGATTACCTTTCCTCCTTCCCCCAATATCTGGAAAAGAATAGGTCTAGCTGTGGTGGGAGTGGCTTAATTCAGAGACCCAACTGCACCCACCGACTCTTGGGAATACCTGGTATCAGCCACCCCCCTAGCAATGAGGATGGTAGTCACAAGGACATCAGTGATTAGAGGATCTCTTTAGATTATCTGGATTTTGCTGTCAAACTTAATAGCAGCACTACCATCAGTGTAATGGATCCTTCATGGAGCATGCACTACTTGGTAGAGTTTGTAAAGTCATCCAGATTGCAGGGGTCCATCTGAATTCTGGTTCCAGAGAGATGTGGAAGATAGTCTGCAAGACTATGCTCTGGACCTCTGGATGTACCACAGCAAGGACTTAATGGACTCACTCATACTGGAATACATTTCATTGAATACTTCAAGTAATGATTTGGTTGCTAATCATAGAAGGTTTTACTTATAAATCCTTTGATGTATTTATTATAAATACTATTTTACATAGAGAGAAAATAGATGCACATTTCTCAAGGATCAAAAGATAGTAAAATAGGCACCAATTCTTATTTGCTTCATGTACCTTTATCCTTCCATACCTGAAATATCTAAAGACACAATATGGGCAGTTTTGTCCCAAGTTAGATAGATAAATGGAGAAATGAACTGAAACCTCATTTTGTTTTTACATTCTACATTTTTCTTAAGCTTCTGTGAAAAAAAAAACTCACCCTCTGAAATTGCTTCAAAAACAAACTTTCGTTAGTTTCCAATGCCATTAATAGGGCAGCATATTTAGCTTGCTCTTGTATTAAATAATCATCCACATAAAATGATTAAGGTCTGGGCATTTCATAATTAAACTATGCTTCTTCATTATGGTCCATACTATATTTAAGTTGGAAATCATTATGGCCCATACTATATTTAAGATGAAAAATAGTACGATGGCATGTTTAAGGGATAATTCATTATTCTGAGCAACTTATAGATATCCAAGGAAAATAACTAAATGAGAATTTTACTTCAATAGACCTTCAAACGTAGCTTTAAAATAATATATCAATACTCTTCTACACAGTTCAAAGTATTTTAGCACCCTTACACTTTCGGCTGACAGACTTTTATACAAGTCTGAGATTGTTAAGGAGAATAGACTGGCTAAGAAGATCAATGTTGTGAGTTGAATTGCCTTGTACTGTAATAAGCTTCACACCAAAAGGAACTTTATTCAGGGAACATTAATTTTAACTTCAGCTGGAAATCTCATAGGGCAGCTGCAGTGAAACATGTAAATGAATAGCTTGATGCAACCAATAATTGCTTCTTCAACAAGTATGATATTTATTGAGCACCAACTGCATGTAAGGCATCCGGCTGGGCATCAGGGAATGGGAGGTCTTGTTGCCAGGTAGAAAATAAGTGACATGGGAGAGGTACAAAGTGGTATGTGCCTTGAGAATCTATCATGCCCACTTGAGTTGCATCTTAAGAAAAGGCAGGACCCCTGTATCAAGAACGTGAGAGGGCAAAGGAAATAGCATCATCCATTGAAAGAAACTGCAAACTCCCAAGGTTTATAACAGATCTAGCAATCACTTCATTGGTCTAGAGCCAGTTTGCATAGAGAAGCATAGGGGATGAAGAGGTACATTAAAGTCAGGTGGTGTCAAGTTTAAATTCTAGGTTGAAAAGTTCAATCTTTAAAAATTCCCCTGTGGGCAATGATACACAATTGAATCTCTTAAGCAGGGAAGTGACGTGACAAGAATTGTGCTTTAGAAACATTATTCCAGCAGGATCCTTTCATGGAATTCACAAGGTCTGAAGTGCTTTATAATCACAACACATAATTTACGCTTTTCACTGTGTTGACGTTTGCCCAGATGGTGAACAAACAATGGTGGGTAAAAGTTCTGGTGCGCTAGCACAGTCAAAGGCAGTGGCACCAAACTGCTGGCCGTGATTGTGCTCCCTAGTTCCATAGATCACAGCAAGAACAATGCACTTCTGTTTAAGAATGTTCTTGATCCTTGATGGATAATTTTTATCAAATTTTGACCCTTTATATAAATAACTTTCACAATTCTGTGTGTCAAAATCTGAAATGCGTAGCAAGCAAGTCAGCTGCCTACTGTACTATACTAATTCTTTTAAGGAAAAGCACAGGCATGATTGATTTGCAGGGTAAACCAGCTGGGGTTTTTTCTGAAACACCATTTTCACTTGAAAACAAAACAAAACACAAAATATGCCATGCCTGGCAAGCTGTGAATATTATGATTAAGTTTATGGCAAACTGTTTTTCTTAAAAATAAAGGAAGTGAGTGAACCTATCACACCCAGGTCACCGACTGATTTGTTGTCAATGATAGATTTGTGCTTTCAAGTCCTAACTAGAATTCTGAAAAAGTTATTATCCCAATACTTAACGAGTTTTTTATGAGCTTCAAGGTGACATTAACAAATGTGATCTTTCAATATGGTACAATGATGTGTGTCAATGTTTGGGAAATATAAATATCTCATTAAGCTTCCATTTTCCAAATGACCAAAGCATGATGTTAAAAATCATACATAGAGTCAGGCCAGTGTGGCTCAATGGTTGAGTGTCAATCTATGAGCCAGGAAATCACAGTTTGGTTCCCAGGTCAGGGCACATGCCTGGGTTGCGAGCTCAATCACAGTGGGGGATATGCAGGAGGCAGCCGATCAATGATTCTCTCTCATCATTGACGTTTCTATCTCTCTTTCCCTCTTCCTTCCTCTCTGAAATCAATAAAAATAAATATATTTTTTAAAAATCATGCATATGTAAAAGGTCCACTCAAAGTGCAAGCTAGAGAAGTGGATTTTAATTTATAAGAGTATGGAAAGTTTGTTGATATGTTTTCCAATTTCACATGCAACTAACCTTTAAAGAACTATCACCTTCAGAAAATACATTTGTGTGTTTCGATGGATTGTTTTGTGTGTGTGTGTGTGTGTGTGTGTGTGTGTGTTTTGTTTTGTTTTTGCATGTTACAGAATTTCTTTCTTTTAAAGGTTGAATAGCATTCTTTTGTATGCATATACATTTTTTTTTATCCACTAAACTGTCAATGGGCTCATAGGTGTCTCTGTACCTTGGTTTTTTTGAATAAACATAGGAAGGCTAATATGTTTTTGTGATCCTGATTTCAATTATTTTGGATAAATGTCCAGATGTGGGATTACTGGATCACATAGTAGTTATACTTTTAATTTTGCAATAATAGGAATGAAATTTGAGGACGTAATACTAATTCAAATAAGCCACTCATTGAGCGATTTCACTTATATGAGGTATCTAAAGTAGTCAAATTCATATAATCAGAAAGTGGAATAGTGGTTGCCAGGGGTTGGGGAGAAAGAAATGAGTCAAGCATAGAATATTAGTCAAACAAGATGAATATGCTCTAGAGATGTACTGTTACAAACTTGCACTTACAGTCAACATAACATACTGAACACAAAAAAATTATTAACAGTGTACATCTCATGCTACATGTTCTTAACACAATTAAGATGAATTATATTTTAAAAGGTTTGTAAATCAGAGCAAAATAATCTGAAAGAAAATGTTTCCACTAATTTGTGCTGAAATGAGGATTTTAATTTATTGAAATATTACCTCTACTTATATTCCTAGTGGACCATTGCCAAAGAATGAGAATTTTTTATCTTTGTTCTCTCAAGTATGCCAACAAATCTTTTCAAAATTTTTTTTTATTTTTTGTCAAAATTAGAAAGTAATTAAATGAGAATAAAAAGTAAAAGAAATTTTTTAAGTTTTCAGTCTAAGCCACAGACAAATAGCTTATACAGTCTTTGCTTATAGCTCATGTCACTACAGTAGCCTTCTCTGATGATCATATAAAATACTTATCCTCCAATAAGTCGATGGTCACCCTTTCCTCTTTATTTTCCCCATAAAACTTATC